GCAGCAAAGTTCAGGGCAAGAAAACACTGTAAAAATTTCAACCCATGTCCCAAAAGAAAATTTTAGGAAGCATCCACAGCCCCGGTCATTTGATTTGAAGACTTACAAACCTATGGGATTCGAATCTTCATTTCTGAAATTTATTCAGGAAAGTGAAGAGAAAGATGATGACTTTGATGATTGGGAACCTTCAGAGCACTTAACATTAAGTAATTCTTCACAACCCAGTAATGACTTAACAGGGAGTGTTATGGCAAATAATACGGTAAATGACAATGACCCTGAAGTTGACATACCTCATTCTTCCAGTGACTCTGCAATTCATGAGAACCTGACAGCAATCCCACCTTTAATAGTAGCTGAGACAGCAACAGTTCCTTCCTTGGAAAACCTGAGGGTCGTATTGGACAAAGCATTAACAGACTGTGGAGAACTTGCCTTAAAACAGCTTCATTATCTTCGGCCAGTGGTTGTCCTTGAAAGATCTAAGTTTTCCACACCAATTTTAGACTTGTTTCCAACAAAAAAGACAGATGAGCTTTGTGTAGGAAGTTCCTAAATAGCAATTTTGTTTTAGAAACAACAGACTGGCTCCAACACTGCAACATGGGGACAATTGCCAACTCGAACAAAGGCTGAGAACCAGCCACACTGTTGTTTAGGGTAGAATAGGCTGTGTATTTACATGAATGTATAATATCTATGTCAGCAGTATTGGCTGAGTCCATTAGCTCTCCAGTTGGTTTATTGATTGGGTTTTTTTGTTTATTAAAAAAATGGAACTGTACTCTTGTTTGGTGCTAATTAATACATCAAAATATATTGGGGCTTCCTTTTTCAGATTACGTGTGCATGATTGTATATGGAACCAATACTAAGATCCCAGGGTGGGAGGGCTAGGGAAAGGGATATGGAGTTCTTACTTGACTTGAATGTGCACCTGAGGGTGCTTTGTGTAATATATTGTACACTACAGCATCTTATATTTTTTGAGTTGAGTTTCAATAAATTACAATTTTTCACCCATTTCTTGTTTACTCATAATGAGTTTTCATGCCACACATAAACTGGAATTGCACTTGTATTTTCTGGAATGTGCACTTATGTTTTACCCCAGTAGTTTTTGTTTTTGTTTTTTTTTTTTGTTTTGTTTTGTTTTTTGCTTCTTATTAAGCAAACCATTCAGATCAAAGCTTCTTTTTGAATGACTGAAGTTTTTGTGGAAAGAAAACTCTGAGATAGAGTAATTAGCTCTGAGAATAAAGGTAGCTCCCAGAGGAGGACGTCCAGGAGTTGTCCAGGTAGAAGAGAGAGGGTATGTCAACCATGATGTGAAGGGCATAGCAAATTCAGGGGAACTACAAATAATTTGATAGGCTGGCAGTAAACGGGGAGCACTGGGGACGCTGAGGACTTTGGATTGAGCCTGTAGGCAGTTGAGAGCCTTTGGAGGATTTGAAACAAAATATTCATATTAATAATCTACAGATCACTTGAAATGAGTGTAATTTGAGGGGCTGAGAATGGAAGCAGTAGATAATAAGGTTGTTGAAGTAACTGACGCAAACTTGGTGAGAGTCTGTACTGACAACTGCAGCAGAGGGAAGATAGGTGAAATTGAGAAATTTAAGAGGATTATTGGGCATTGGAGAGTGAAAAAAATGAGGAAAACTTAAGGTTCAGTAGTGATGCAACCAGTTCAGATGAGAATTCAAAAGGAAGAAATGGGTTTTGGGGAAGAGGGTGGAAAGCCAAGGTGAGTTGGTCCTTGGATGTGTTAAGTTTCAGGGAACTGTGGGACATCCATGTCTAATGACAGGGAAAGCAGTGTGTTTTTTTAAATACAGTGGCTTTGTTCTTGGTTGCTTGTGAAGTTTTCAACCACTTCTGTTAGTTAGCAATGAAATGACTCAAACACTCCTAGCATCCCTTTCTTACGCCTTTGGTTAGGATTTTAAGACCTTTTCTCTGATCTTTAAACCTTGTTTTGACAGCTCTTCAGGAATTTCATTCTGCCACCTCCTCACCTTAAGAGTCTAAAGCACCCACCAAGCCCAAATCATTACTGGGCTCAGATCCCAGTAGGTAACAGGATTCTCAAATAAGAATCTGTTGAAAGAAAAAGTGGCAGAAACAGTGGACCATCGTGGAGGCTGAGGTGACTACTGACTCCGTGGGATTTTGAGCTGACTTCTGTGGGCTTAAGTTTCCTCACTTACGAAGTGAGGTGTGGGTGATCATTTTGAAATACTCCTTTCTGTGATCTAAGCATGAGAAAAAACCAGTGATTTCATTTTTTAAATTCCTCGTAGTAGCAATTTTTAGACCAGACCGAGAGAAAGCTGCTAATTTGTTTAACACTCAGCTTTATCCATTCAACTACCCCCTGGATCAAGTGAGTTCATTTGCAGTGGAACCAAACCCTAATTTTCAGAACCCGATTGAAAGTTTGCTTTGATGATCCTATGATCATTTTTCTATTGAAGACAAGCTTTTATTTTAAAAACAGCATGTGTGATTATATGATATTTGAGAAGGTCAAGGTGTTATTTTCAAAGCTTCTAGTATGATTTTTACTTGATGTCTCTTTGGGACTTGTCCCCAAACCCTGACACAGACCTGGAAGCATTGAGTTTGTGCCTTACCTAAAGTGATAGGTAGAAATCAAGAATGCCAGACACTTTCATTCTTGCCTTTTACCCAGAATTCTCTTGCTTCCTGTTTCCCCATGTTCATGAGCACATGTGTGAAAGAGAAGGTGGGAATGATGGAGAAGAAAGGTTCTGATTAGCCTTCCTGGGGATCTCATCCCCAACCTATCCTCTCAGTCCCAGGTTGCCTACTTCTGAGCTGCACTGCCAAGGACATGGTTAATGGAAGACAGTCATTAACCAAATACTTAAGTACATGCATATTTAAAGATAATCCCAGATGCTCTGGGAGGTGAGAATAACAACAAATTGTTCAGGCATCTGCCATCATGGAGCTTTAATATGATGGCTGAGGTGGCTTTAACATTTTAAGGTGTCGCCATGGGCCAGCAGCATGGACATCACCTGGGTGCTTGTTAGAGTTGTAGAATGTCAGGCCCCACTCCCCACCTTCTGGACCAAAATCTGCATTTTAGTAAGATCTCCAGATGATTCATAGACACAGAAAAGTTCTTGGAATACAAAGTGAGAAGTGCTACAAGAATTCAGGATAATTACACTTTTGTTTAAGCACTTTACATAAAATTGTCTTGTTGAATTTTCATAACACCAGGAAGTCAGTACTGTTAGTTTTGTTATTTGACAGATAAGAACTTAAGAGAGGGAAGAAGTGTCGTGCTTAGGTGATAAATGCTAGGTAGCGATGGGGCCCAGTTTCAGTCTCTTCTGACTGGAAAAATATCAGGGAGGGGAACTTAACGTGAAGGAAGGAAGATGGAAAGTTGCAGGTGGTATTTAAAGTACCAAAAATACCACAGTTTTATAATTAAGTTGAGTGTATTTTTCATGAAAGTGAACAGTGGGAAATAAAGTTTGAAGCGTAGGTAAAAGCCAGGTCATGCAGATCCAAATCCAGTCATACGTTCAGTGTTGACATTTCCTCATTTGAGAAAGAGGTGGGAAACTGGTTCATATTGTTCGTGTGAATAACATGTGACCTATGAAAAAATCAGTCTTGCTTTCTGAAAGAAACTTAACAAAAGTCAGAAAAGTTGCTCAATCCCCTCTTCACCCCCATGGTAGACTGATGCCTCGTGGCTTTATACTGCTAATGCAGGGGCACAGCCTCCTGTTAGGTAAAGCCGAGTCTGGAAGGAGTGGCCCACCCTGCTGTGGCCTGCTTGATGTACACTTGCAGAAATATATTCTGTGACCGACTGTATTTGAAGGCCTGAACCACTTTGAGGAAGGTAACCAGGATGGTCAGGAAATTTAAAAACCTGCCAACCTGTATTTGGCAGGTTTAGCCTGGAACAGAGAAGACAAGAGGCACAGGAAAGCTATAGCCAAATATTTACTAAACACATAACCTTCTGCCAAAGAGGGGAGGAGTGCTGAACATGACATGGTAAATTTCCTACATCATGGAGATTAGAGTCTTGTCAGGAAGATAGATGTTAAGCAAAACACTACAAATAGTTACGTAAAAGTGCTACAAAAGAAGCCCTTACTGTGAAGGAATCAAAAAAGAGGACAGGAAAAGCTTCCTTAAGGAAGCAGTGTTTAAAACCTGAAGAAACAACAGGAGTTAGGATAATCCAATTATGCGCTCAGGCATTGTGGTGCAGCAGCTTGGTGTGTTAGTGACCTGCCAAGTCTAGGAAAGCTAGGGTTGAGAGAATAAATGGAAAAGGGATGGAGAGAAGATTGGATCGGTAAGCAGGAGCCAGGTATGGTCGTGCCTTGTTACCCTGTTCCAGATTTTGGATTTTGTTTGCAAGACAATGAAGAACCTATTAAAGGTTTGAAAGCAGGCGTTGCTTAAATCAGAAGTTGCAGTGTGTGTAAATCAAGAAGTCCTAATAGGGCATAATGTGGAAAAGGAGGGAGGGAGGGAGGAAGGGATGGAGGGAGGAAGGGATGGATGGATGGATGGATGACACTTATCTAAAGGTGAGCTGTAACTTCCATAGTGATAAATTCTTCATTGTTGGAGGTATTCAGGTGTCCAAGAGTAGAGTCAAACAATAAATGGGTCTTTCGGACTAGATTCTCTTTGAGGGACCTTATCCTATTGAGATTTACAATACTTTGCATTTGGTCATAAACGTCACTATAAATAATAGTTGTCCTTATTTCTATACTTGTACATAAATTATTGAATTCTCATTACAGTAGCTCTACAAGGTAGGTATGACTCTCACTTAACCAGTGAAGTAACTTGCCCAAGGTAACAGAGTTAGTGAATAGTCCCGCCAAAATTTGAACCCAGATCCATTAGACTCTCAAAGGCCTATCCTCTTAACAGCTATTCTGTAAAGCTTCTATAGAAACAAGTACATAAATATGGTAGTAGGAACTTGATTGAACAGTTTAGGTTTTAAAGGTATTTGGAAACCTTCTAGGGAAATTTTATTTACTTAAAAATATTCTAGTTCCCACTACGTGCCAAGCACCAGGGATACAGTCATCAGTAAAATGGATATGATCCCTGTCTTCCTTGAGTTTACAATAGTTAGGAAAGACATATTAAACCAAAAATTGCACAAATAACCTTAACTGTGTGAAGTGCTTTGAAAGTAAAGTAGCAGGCTCCGTGTAACAGGCGAATTTAATCTAGTGCAGGAAGTCTTGGGTAATGATTTAGTTGTCACAACCAGATTTTTCTCCAAAAGGTTTCCGGCTATCATGCTTTAATGGTTTCTGACCTATGTTTAACTTGTTATAGTAAAATCCCAAGTCTTACCTGAGTAACTTTCATCCTTTCTAGAAAAGATTCTGGTTGTGATCAGTCACTAGCAGTTATGGACTTAACATCAATAGTAGTCACTCCTAAATCAGCAGGTCATTTCGCCCTGACATGGTACTAAATCCCCAACAGCATTCTTGACTCCATTTTCTGGATGTGTCCTGGACACCTCAAGCCACCTGCCATACCTTCCCTTCCTGCAAGAACAAAACAGTTATTCCTTCTCCACCAGGCTACCCTATCCATGTTCTTTCTTTCAGTCAATCAGATGAACAAATCAAAACAGCATTAGATAATATTTTTCTAAAAATTATTTGTCATAATTGACCCTTTATCTCCTTCCTTACTATGCCCCTCCCCTCCTCTCAGTGCAAACCTTCTTTTGGATTCTTACTGTCTGTGTAACTGATCTCACAATTTATATTATACTCTTGTGTGTGAACTACCTTTTTGGGGAATAGACCATACATTTTATATTTTCATATCTCTTTGCTGACTAGTCAGCAGGTACCAGTCAGCAAATAATGGGTTTGATAACATGTCACATAGGCAATGGCACAGCAAGCTACTGTTTACAAAGCACTTAGGAAATTATACCATTTGTTCCTCATATAAATCTTGTGAAGGAGGTGGAATCCCTATCTGTAAACAGATGAGCAAAATGAGGCTCAAATATGTCAAAAGCTTTCCCAAAGATCACAACTTCTAAACAATAGTGACGTTATGAAAAAGAGAATGCTACAAAATGATCCAGTGATAACCTCCCTCCACGTTTACCAAGTAAACTATTCGCTCTTTGGGAAAGCCCTCTTTAAATCCTATCTTCTCATATCTCCACTTAACCTCAGTTTTCTCCGTTGAAGTGTGAAAGTAATTGCTGTCCATTCCATGAATTGTTGGAAACGTTCTATAACACTGTCCAAGAGGGTAGCCAGTAGCCACCACATGTGGCTACTTAAGTTTAATTAAAATGAAATAAAATGTAAAATTCAGTTCCTCAGCCACATTGCAAGTGACAAGTGGCTACCATGTTGGACAGAACACATACAGAACATTTCCATTATTGCAGAAAGTTCTGTTGGCCAGGGCTGTGCTAAAGCTAGGACTTGCCAAAGGTCAGAGAGAGCAGTATGACGGAACTGAAAACCCAGGCCAGGGCCTGGCAGGTTTTGAGTGAGAAGAGTCAGTGAGTAAGTGGGAAGCAAGCTGGCCTTTGGCACAGTGATGTCACAAAGCACAGCTCACAATGGCTCCAGAACACCTACACTCCCAGACCACCCTCCCTAACTCATATCTGGCTTCCTGATGCCTCTGCATATGTAGTTCTCAGAGCTGCTATTTTATTAAAAATGTCATCTTTATCTTCATCTTCTATCTGGAACATCATCATAGATTCTCTCTCTCTGAGCTCGATATGGAATTATCTACAAGCAATTCTTCTGGGAGAGACTAGTGCGCCTCAGCAAACAAATCTGGGGCTACTGGATAATCTTGCTCCGGCTGTGCAAGTTGTCCTAGGGATTTCCTTTTTGATTTTGTTGGGAATAGGAATATATGCCTTATGGAAAAGAAGTGTTCAGTCAATTCAGGTTATACTCCTTTGTTATGGAAAAATTTAAATAGTTTATAAACTGAAATTTGATTAATTCTCTCCTATATTGCTGCCACCCAGTTTTAAGATCATGCAGATGAGCAAGAGTGAACCCTTGTCTCTGAAGTTGGTTGAAATTAGGTTATCCTTAAAAAGTTCCACCAGTTAGGATTTTGGTATGAAAATGCTCTTTCTCTCAAGGATCTTTCTTTGGCTTGTCTTATAATAAAATAGATCAAAGAAGTTCATAACCTGAGAAGGCAGCCTTATCCCTAAATTTATTTGATCATGTATTCATCTTTGAGTGTCTGACTATGTGCCAGACACCGTGGGGGGTACTTTTTATAGAACAGGCACCACACATATAAGTGGGATCTTGGGTTTTGCCTTCCTGTTCTTACTGTGCCATTGCTCTGTAACTAATGAGGAGACACATATATTTATTTAGTCATCGTAATGTTTTCATTATTTCCTTGCTTTAACAAAATAGGGCTCCATGAATATACAGGAGTTTGGGGGGATAGGAATATAATTGCCTGGGATTATGAGAAATATTTAGGGTTTTACATACTTCTGTTTAATCACCAATAATAACACTATATTTACATATGGTTAAAATGCTTTGAGAGCCCCAACAAGTCCGTGAAATGGGTAGAGGTTATTTTCATATGATAATCAAGGAAACTGAGGCACACTGAGGTTCAGCCTAAATATAAGGAGGTAGGATTTGAAGAGGGCTTTCTTAAAGAATGCCTGGCTTACTTGGTAAATGCTGCGGGGAGTTAATACTGGATCATTCTGTAGCATTCACTTATTTTCATATGTCACTACTGTTGAGAAATCAGTCACCTGCATTCGCTTAACCTTTCAAAACCCTGTATGGTAGGCAGGGCAGGGATTATCATCTCCATTTTGTAGGTGAGGGAGCTCAGTTACCACCGACTCAAGTTGACATAGCTTGTCAAAGCCAGCAAAACAGATTGGAACCTAATTTTTAGGATTCCAAATTAAATTCTTCTCCAAACATCTCACTTAATATAGTCCAGCTGAACTAAATCCCTAACGGATCTGTGTGTCAACATATTCACATATATGCATTTCAATTAGCTAAGAGTATAAGGCAAAACACCAAACTCTTAGCTATAATTCTGGGCTCTGCTCTTGTTTGGTTAATGTTTATGTAACGCAGTCAGAAAGATGAATTCGCAGCCCTCCGGACATCTCAGCCAAGAAAAAGAGGTAGTATAACAGAGTGGTTAATAGGCTCTGGAGTCACACTACTGGGGCTTCCCGGTTTCACCACTTGCTGTGTGACCGGAGCACCATCACTTAGCTTCTCAGCCCCAGTTTCCTTATCTGTAAAATGGGTTTGCTAATAGTGCCTCCCTTGGGGTTTTTGTGAAGAGCATAGGAGATACTGCATGTACAAACTCAATACATAATAGTAGTACTTATTATAAGGAAAAAGATGATTGCTTTTAAGTTTTTTCTTATCCTGATCCTGGCAGGAATCTCTCATAGCACATTAAAAACATTTTTTTCCATGCCTAGTTTTTCAGACTGCTGTGTCCTGAGAGAATATACATGGAAGTCAGAATTCCTGGATTCCAGTCCTGGCTCTGCCATTTTCAAGTATATGACCTTGGACAATGACAGAGTCCAAACTGGAAGGTATCTAAATGGTTATCCAGTTCTGTTTGTTCCTACATAAATAGGTCATGCATAAGCAAGGAAATTCCTAGCACAGTGCTTTGCACGTGGCAAACTTTCAGCAAATGATGTCTATTATTATAGTTTATTAATTAAATGCAAATAATCCTGACCTGCCTACCACTCCATTTTGTGGTGAAGATCAAAAGACAAAATAGGTGTGAAGATGCTTTGTTAAGCACAAGGCTTGGCATAGGAATGAGGGATTATTGTTACTGTTAGGGTTTGGTTTTGCATCTACAGTAAGCTGCGTCACATCACATGAATAAACAAGTAACGTTCAACTTCTGTTGTTTTATTTTAGAAAATAGTGTTGTTTGCAGTCACACTCTACAGACTTTACAAGCAGGGCTCAGAATTTTTTCAGGCTTTGCTGGTCAACCCAGAAGGGACTGGTTTCCCAGTTCAAGACAAAAATATCTTCCTATCCTTGGGTCTGCAAGAGAAAATTCTGAAAAAACTTCAGACGGTGGAAAACAAAGTGAAGGACCTGGAGGGAATGATCATTTCCCAAAAACCTGCCACGAAGAGGGACTGCTCCTCTGAGCCCTACTGCAGCTGCTCGTACTGCCAGAGCCCCTTGCCTACATCAGGGTTTACATCTACATCTGAACTGTGATGGATCCAATCTTTTCCAGAAAAGCACTTTTCCCCGCCTCATGTGTCCAGTGGTATATCAATAAAGGTAGAAAACTATATTGAAATTACTTGGCCAGGACTGGCTCTCTATTCAACAGGGCCCAGCTTCCACTTGTGTCTGTGGTGGGGTCATGTAGGGGATGGTGGTAGTTAAAAATGTCTGAGACTGTGATGCCCACTTGGCAGGCTGGAGACCAGAAGCAGCCACGTAGAAAAGGAACCCGTGGGAGTGGGAAAAGAAGGGTGAGTGGTTGCAGACGTGATCTTGAACTCTGTGCTGCAGAGGTTGCATTAGACACAATAAAAGCAGCAATAAAGTGCTATTAAGGGAGGTGCTGTGGACTGTCCTGGGGAGGTAGACTAGTCTGTGGGCTGGTCTCTGACCTAAAGGTGGTCTAAATTCTCCCTGCATTAAATTATTTAGTGGGAAAGGGTGAGGCTGGCCATAAAGGACATTGTTAATATTACTGGAATTTTACGAATTCTTACTGTGCTAAGAAAGTATTGTGGGTTTCTTTTGTTTTTGTTTTGCTAAGAAAACATTATGATAATCCTTGGGAATCTGTCCTGAGTGCTTCAGGAGCACAGGTTGGACAGGTAATTTCAGAACAAGGAATTATTAAAAATTGTAATACACAGCAAGGGTCATATCATCTGAACTTATGTGAATTCTCCTTGTCTGAATCCTAGGTTAGCAGGGAAGGAAGAAGGGAGGAGGCACCTACCTGCCATTCCACTCAATGGTTGCCCCCTGCCATGAGAAAGATGGCCTGCTGGGGAGATGGTAGTAGATGGTCCTCTCAGTGGGTCTCAGATGGCACAGTCCTTATACTGTGTGCGCATTTTTGCCACCATAAATATGATTACAGTCAATGAAACACTTTGTAACTGACACCTAAATGAAATATTTTATTTGGTGTGCAAATAAACAGCGATTTATGGCCATGGGGAGGAAAACTGGCTGTGCTGTTCAACAGGAGACAATATAGCAGTCTCTCAAGTGGCATCTTCCTAAGGGATTTCCACAGGTAAATTTTTTGTTAGTTTTATTTATTTTAAAAAATTAAAAGAAATTTTTTTAATTGAAGTATAGTCAGTTTACCATGTTGTGTCATTTTTTGGTGTACAGCATAATAGTTCACTCAAACATATACTTACATATATTTGTTTTCATAGTTCTTTTTCATTATAGGTTACTATAAGATATTAAGTATAGTTCCCTGTGCTATACAGTGTAAACTTATTTACACAGGTAATTCTTTTTTTAAAATATTCTTTTTTAAAATTATTTGGGGGGGCGGAGGTAATTAGGTTTACTTATTTACTTATTTTTGGAGGAGGTACTGGGGATTGAACCCAGGACCTTGGGTATGCTAAGCCATGCACTCTACCACTTAGGCTATACCCTCCCCCTGCACAGGTAATTCTGATCATAATTTTTGTCCAGTGCATGGGAGTTAAAATGCAACCCCCGTACAGAGATAAGACTTCACTGTATAGTGCACTGTGCCAGGTGAATACAGGGTGGGGCCCGGGAAAAACCTTGCAGAGGAAGTAACAATGAGTTGTCCCATAAAAGGTTATACAAGTAGACAGTGAAATGAAAGTTATTCCTGCTGGCGGGGTCATCAAAGAGCCATGTAAAAAAAGAGGATGTCTTGCCTGGAGAACAAGGAGAGTTTCAGGGTGGCTGAAGAACTGGCTATTTCCAGAGCTACAATGAAGGATTTTTGGCTTCGGGGAAGGACACGCTAACTTCCTCCTCAAATCAGCTTTAATTCACAATGTGGTGAACAGAACAGATGCGAGTTATCGACAATGTGCATTAAGACAGTGTAGGTGGGAAGTTTGTTAACTACGCTGCTGAAGGAGTGCCATGCAACCTTTTAAAGTCAATGCCTTAATTTTTTTGTGCTACATTTCAGTGCCTTCCTGCATAGTTCCAGTCTTCTTGTCTTGGTTACCACTCTGAGGTATATCAGAGACAAGTGTCAGAAGAAGGGCCTAGAAGAGTAGAGTGATAGGTAATGAAGGGCCTTAAAATTCAAACCATACTGTTGGGAATGGCCCATTGTAGGCTTTTAAACAGGGGAGTAACATAAGTTTGGTCACCTGGGTGGGAGACATAGAATAGAATGAGCTAAATGCAAAAGATAAAACAGGCTGGCTGCTCCTCTTGGGATGCAGTGGGGTAGAAACTAATGGGGGTCACCTTTTCCCTGGTTCTCATTTCCCCCAAAAAGGTGGGTGATTTACACCACAATCATAAGAGACTGATATCAAGTATTAGTTCCTAGTGGGGGACCAGAGCACTATGTCCAGGGCATCAATTAAGAGATCTTGGATCAGGAGGGACAATATAGGTCAAGTGGTAGATTAGAGCACATGCTTAACATACACAAGGTCCTGGGTTCAATCCCCAGCCCTCCTCTAAAAATAAAATAAATAAGTAAAACTAATTACCTCCCCCTCAAAAAAATGAAAAAAGACATCTTGAATCAAGGCAAAATAGGGAAAGGACTTGAGAGCCCCTTTGTCATTCAGGTTGGATGGGATGTCACACCAGTGTCCACCAATCCAGGGAGGAGAATCATTATCCACCAAATTCAGTCTCTCACATTTGACAAAACAGGACAAGAGCCTGTTTTGGGGCTCCCATTTCAGTCTCCACCCAGACAGTCCATCTGTTACCACCATCTTTGTGCAAAGGGGAACACATTATTATTCATGTTCCATTATTCACTCCTCCCTCCTTCCTACCACCATAATCTAAGCCACCATCTCTCACCTGGTTTCATGAAATGGCCTCCTAAATGGACTCTCCGCTTCCATTTTTGTCCTCACTCAATTTATTCTCTACACAGTAGCTCAAGGGATCATATTACTTCTCTGCTCAGAGCCTCTCAATGGCTTATTATTTCGCTCTGAGTAAAAGTCAAATTCTTAACCGAAAGACTGTGTATGATGGCATGATCTGTACCACCCTCCTTCTTAATTTTTTTCACTCCTTCCCCACTCACTATTTCTCAAACACGCTAGGCATTGTCAGACCTCAGGACTTTGAACTTGCTGTTCACTGTGCAAGGTACAGATTCCTCAGACCCATGTGGCTTCTTTTACTTTTTTGGGGGGTGGGGGGTCTGTGCTCAAATGTCAGCTAATCTTGTAAGCAGATCGGGTGGAGGTCCCTGGAGAAAGAACCAGGCATGGCTTTCTTGACATAAGAGAAGACATTATAGGCTTAAGCCATTTTGTGAGCTAAGCCTGCTCACAGTGCTTATCTTTGAACAGGTCTCAGTAATAATGATCTTAAGGGAACAAAAGAAGGAAGGAACCAAGGAAAAACAGTCAAGAAACAATAGTTTAGCAATAAAACAAAGTCCTAATTCCTCCTCAAGGGATGTACCTAACAATCTGATACGTATCTTTGAGTTCTGCAAGAACCAAGGCCCCCTCCCAGGTGGAGAGTGGTAGCTACAGGCTAAGATTCCAGACTGGTTGGAACCTAAAAAATGGTGATGGTGACTTTTTCTGACCCTTCTGACTTCAATCAACTGAAGCTTGGACTCTGCGGATCTCTGCCTCAGTTCTATGCTGAGTTCTCCTCTGCTCAAGCTCCTTCATAAATATGCATGTACCCATTAGCCTGAAACTTCCCCAGTTTTGCTCTTCAAGGAGACACTACTTTGGGAAAGATCCCTGGTGTTCTCCCTATTTGCTGCAAGTGGTAAATCCTTCCTTCTCCCACCTGTTGGCTTGGCTGTGTCTCTTGGTTTGACACCCACTAAGAGGTTTTTGGGTAACAATCTGAGAGGGCTTCCTTGATGATCTTATATAAAATAATGCTCCTCATTCCAACACACTGCATCCCTCTTTTCCTGCTTTTTCTTCATAGCACTTATCACCACCTTTGCTTTTACTGTTACTTATATGCTTATTGTCTATCAACCCCTCCACCCACCCCAGCTGTTGCCGAAAAACCAGCCTCTGTACTCCGATAGCCAAATTGAGAGTAGCAGGCAGAGTTTTGCGAGGATAGAAAAGAACAGCTTTATCGCTTTACCAAGCAAAGGGAGTCACAGCAGGCTAATGCTGTAAAGACTGTGAGCCCATCTTGGGGAGAGGGTCCTGGGGTTTTATAGAAAAATGGGAATAGGAGGGTGATAACAATCAGAGTATAAGCAGGGGCTACATTCCTTTCATCTTGATAAGAACTTATTGTTGTTATGGAGGAACTTAGGAGGGTCTGCCCATTTTCTTGAGGTTCAGTCCATGACCTTCCTAGGCTAAAAGGATAAGTTATCCTAAGAAAAGGGTGCACAGGGAGGAGAGCATGTTACTCCTAAGATCAGTTTAGCTACAAGTACAGGCCTGAACCACTCAGTAGCTAGCCATCTTGTTAGTTCTCTACTCTTTCAAATCCCAACTGTCAGTTCATCCCTTCCATTTCTTTGAAAAAAGGTAAATGGGTGCTGATCTTCTCTGGCTGCTTCCTGCTGAACTGGGGCATCACCTGGGGATTCTTCCAATAGAAGGAACGAACATGATCATAACAATTCTTAGGAGGTTTTTACAAGGGTCTTAGTGGCCCTATTACAGAGAAGAGGAATATAACAAAGTATAAGTCGAAAAAGTAAATAGGCTCCTAGAACCATAACAACAGGGAGAGAAGGAACTGAAATATCCCTGAGAAATAGATCTTAGTTTCTGGGGAATCCAGGAAAACAGATTGGAGAACCAATTTGAGACTCTTGACGTGGCTTCAGCAGAGTAGGCACTGGAGTCATCTCCACGTGAATCTGACTTCTCATATCTTGCAGGAATGCTGTGCTACTGGCACTTCATCTGGAATCAAAGTACAATGTTCAGTGTGAATGACTACACAGGCTCCAGCCCCCTCCCGGAGGTGGTTGGGACATCCAAAGCCAGTTGACTTTGTAACAAACAAGAAACGGGGCACACAGAAAGGATTTGTATCAGGGAGGATCCCCACGGGGTCCTGCTATTTCACAGCCCACTAAGGATGTAAATTTCAGGAGTGGAAGGAGCTTTGTTTGGTTCACTG